TCTATATTGGGTGTTCGCGTGGCCCGAGGGGCCTACCCTTAAGGGTTTAATTGGGTTGGGATTAAAAAGGGAAAAAAAAACCCTTTATTTGTCGTATGCTTCTTAAAGATTTCTTAGTCGGACGTAGGTCCTGAACTTGGATTCAAGGTCCTTGTCCAGGACATCCCAGGTCTTAGACTCTGCATGGAAGGGATCTCTCCCCGTGCAGAACCTATTTGCCCTGCCTGCCGAGACACTCGGCCTAAAGGCTGGTGGTGCCACGGCGGCCGCATGGTGGCCGCACGACTATTCCTTCAGCCGTGCAATATCGTGAGGGAGCAGACCCTCACAATACTTCGAGAGTGATACTTGAGTATCATAAGCGGTACTCGGATCCACGAAGGACCGCTTAATTATGGGCACTACATAGTACGCCATCATCACGACTGCTTGCGTAATTATGCATTGCTAGTCGATATGGGAAGACCCTGCGCCCGCGTGGTTTTATACTAAGTCTCGCGCGCGACGCCTATCCGATTTGCGCATCAGAGAGTTATGGGATGACTACTAAGAAACTAGGAGTGTTGTCGCGTTGTTTATTCTGTGTCATTCTGTACATATATGTGTATGTGCGTGTCTTTTATTTTTTTGTTTTTTATAGTGGTGTGCGCGTGGCGTGTGGGATGCGTCCTAGTCGACTGGCGACGAGTCGCGCTTGGGACCTCAACCCCCCAAGATGCCGGTTCGCGTGCGGGTCCGATAGAGGCGTGATACCACGCGTACCCCCTATGCTACAGCGAACGAGAAACGCCCTCGGCTGGTCCACCTCTGCGATTGCAACTGATTAGCTTTCGTATTGTGGACTGGTAGCTCGACGGGGATACACCCACCGAAGGGAGGTGAGAGCTCCCGTAAGGTGGAGGTAAGTCGTGCCTCGCGTAGGCCCTATCCTGTCGTAGGGGCTCACGAGAGGTATGGCTGGCGGACTCGGCCGGAACGGCTGCCTTCTGCGGTGTCGCACCGATGCGTGTGACAACGGTAAGCTTATACAGACACTGCCTGCACACCACCCAAGGTTCGTCCATGGTGTTGTATGTCGGGTCTTGATACTGGGTGGGTTGCTTGTGGTTGTTGCTTGTGGTTGCTCTGTTGATCTCCCCAGTCTGGCATATCACACACAGGGGCCGTTTGCGATTGTTGCTCAAATGATAGAGTCTTCAGGTCACATGTCATAGATCATGGGTTCGAGTCTGGCTAGGGAATTTGGGGGGGGTTCTTGTCCAGCTTGGCCTGTCATCTCTTCAAACAAACACATAGTTCCCTCTACATAGCACTGCACATATCTGACCTTCGGGCACATACATCTCGCTATACAGTTACACAGAGCACTCATAAACTGCGCATATCTAGCGTTCGGGCACATACATCTCGCTATACAGGTACACAGAGCACACCGAGCCTTCGGGCAGATACAAAAGTACATGGCCTTATGGGTTCATACAAACGTACATAGCCTTTGGGCATACACACATACACACAAATTACGATACTGGGCTGGGGGGGTCTATCAGGTATTTGACGGGGTCTACTCACACATGGCTTAGCTCTAGGGTAGGGGTAGGGATATAAGTTGCTCCGGCTAGTATGAGCTCCACCTAGCCTTGGGTAAGCCAGGGGAAGGATGGTAGGATGTGTCCGTGAGCGCTGGCCTGCCTTGCTTAGGTAATCCTGCTGGGTAGACTCTCTGAATTGGGCCTGTAGAAGATTGCATGGGCCTGGCGTCCGAAGTTCCCGTACGGCAAGGTTCGTCCGCTTCCGCTTCTGTCAGGTCTGGAGGTTGGCCCGGCCTTGGTGCTTTGTCACTGCTTTCTGGTCCAAGTTGCCCTCCATATTGATAGGGTGATGGTCCTGAGTGCTGGTCACACTGAGGTAGGATAGTAGAGGCAGGGGTGGGTAGGGTAGGCGGCCTATCCTTTCAGGACAACCATTTGGCTGCCGCTACTAGCAATCACCTCTGGTCCTTGGCCTCTACAACTACAACACCCTGGGCTTTTTGAAAAGAAAAACAACAACAACAACAAAAAAACGGTCGTCATTCTGTTTGAGCAGAAATAATTGACTGATGGCCTGTTTCCCAACTGGACTGACAATGGCCCAGCAGAGCTGGATGGCTGTCTCTTATACACATCTAGATGTGTATAAGAGACAGGGATAGTAGAGGCAGGGGTGGGTAGGGTAGGCGGCCTATCCTTTCAGGACAACCATTTGGCTGCCGCTACTAGCAATCACCTCTGGTCCTTGGCCTCTACAACTACAACACCCTGGGCTTTTTGAAAAGAAAAACAACAACAACAACAAAAAAACGGTCGTCATTCTGTTTGAGCAGAAATAATTGACTGATGGCCTGTTTCCCAACTGGACTGACAATGGCCCAGCAGAGCTGGATGGTCCCCAAATAGCAGCTACTGGGCCAGCTGAATTAGGGGCCGAGCCGCTTTCTTTCGGGGCTCCAAACGCCCTGCGCGGCAAGCTTTGCCGAACTGCGAGGGCGACATTTTTTCCCCTTTTGGCTGGCGTCACCAGCCATCGTGGTCGGATAGGCCCGAAGCCCGAAAGCTGCAGCACGTAAACGACAATGGCCCGCGGGCTATGTATGGGCCAAGTACGGTCTAGCGTTCGTTGCCTCGTTCACCCATCCCCGTTACCACGGTCTCAGGTCCAGTCCTCTTCGGTTCACTCTCGTTCAGTCCGTGCAGTGTGCTGCGCCGGGGTGAGCCATACTACTGGAACCCACGATCTTGTTGGGTTTCCTTTTCCTGCTCTGGGCGGCAGCCGTTGAGTACGCTAGACCCTTCTGCTCTCGTATATATTGCTGCCGAGTTTACCTGGCCACTCGGTGGTGTCCCGGTGATGGTTCCGCTCTCTGCGGATCGAGGAGATGGTTGCCATCACTGTTCGAGGAATGGATGCTCCTACAATAAGACCGCATGCATCGGTTGGGAGAATGCAGGGAGAAATTGGAGTCATCAAGCATCAAATCAGTCGGTCGCGGGCTTGTTTTCTGTGTTGAGCTGAGTGATTGTCGTATTATATTAACATAAACACACACACGCACACAAAAGAGAGAGAGAGAGAGAGAGAGAGAGAGAGAGAGAGAGAGAGAGAGAGATGTCGAAGCGCAAAGAACCGGTGTCCCGAGATGAGGGCGATAAGCTGGAGATCACGCCTTTGGGCGCCGGGAACGAGGTTGGGAGGTCGTGTGTGATCATGAGATATAAAGGGAAGACAGTCATGGTGCGTTCGATCTTCGTTGTCCCTGTGGTCCTCTTCTTCTCTTTATCCTTCTACGTTCGCTTGCCTTTCCACCTGCCCTCCCCCTCCTCCCCACGCCCAACTCGCTCTCCCTTTCCTTCTTCGCCGGAATTATAGTGACATCATCGTTTTCTGCCCTCAGAGCTGACCACCCTTCATGTCTCTCAGGTCGATTACAGTAAGTATCTTCTTGTCGCCCTATCTGGTCTGCCCTCTCAAAATCCCACTTGATCGTGCACTCTACTTTGCTAACGGCTTTGCTGTCTCTACTGTATGATTTCCTTGTATCGAAGCTGCATTCTCCTTTCCTTCTATCTTGAGACTTTCCCATACCCTCCTGTTTACGCCCTTGCCATTTTTCACCCCTCTCTTTCTCTCTGAACCCCGCCGCGCTCCCCCTCGCAGGGTCTCTGCCTGCTATCGCGATCTGTCTTTCTTTCACTATCTTATTCTTTCTCCTCTCGCCTCCGCCGCCGTCCAACTGTTACTCTATTGTTCCTCGCTTTGTCTGTTGTTTCTGTCTGTCTGTCTGTCTGTCTGTCTGTCTATCTCTCCCCTTCTCTCTCTCTCTCCCTCTTTCATTTGTTTCCCCTCCTGCCGCTGTTTATTCCGTCTTCTCTCCACTCCCGCCGTTCTTAAGGTAACTTGCGCTGCTCCCGTTTCTTCACGAACTCTCCCGCTTTTCTGAGGCAGGACTGAAAGATGCCAAAAATTTTAAAATTTGGCGGCACTTAAACGATGCCGCTGTTATTTGCGATTTCTATGAGGCAGAACTGAACGATGCCAAAAATTTTAAAATTTGGCGGACGTTTAAGTGCGGCTCGACCTAGATGAAGTTGATCCGCGTCTGGATCATTGAAGGATAATTTGATTATTAACACAAATATTGTTTGGCCGTTTGCATTTAATTCATCTACATAACTGAACTGATTGAAGGGAGAAAGATGAAAATCCCCCTGTGAAAGTGATTAGCTACCCGAATACCGCTGTGAGAGTGTTCTTCAGCATGTGCGCTTCCGGGTACGGATGGCTTAACGCTCCCCGATGCCTGCGATGTCCACTTGGAGCATTCTGTTCATGATAAACTCTAACAGATCCCCACGTAGGCAGCTTTCCCTGAATCAAATCAGGTAATAACACTCAAGGCCATGCTCAGACTAGCACTTCTTTGTCTGCAATTGCGACCCGACCTCGATCCATCAGAGACCGTAATCACGTTCAGAGAGCAGTCGGGAAGTCCTCGTGTGAGTATGCCCTAACACTAGTGGATGAGACCATCCCCCAAGTTAAAAAGAGATCTGATTCGGTTCGGGAAAACTGCCTGCGGCTAGCTCCGATTCGCGTCAGATAGCCACGGTAGCAAGCTCTGATTCCCTGATGGTTGAAAGAAGTTAGAAAAGTAAAAAAGCAAAAGCAGTAAAAAAGTAAAAGGAGTATTAAAAAGAAAAAGAAAAATAAGGACGCACTTCCTGGTTCTGTTCCTC